TAACAGACTCAATTCTGAAACAAAATTGCAACTTATACATTCAATATTTCTAAAATATGTCTAATGTATACAACATACATATGCTTAAGCTATACAAGCCAAATTAACCATTCGGTCCCTTTACATATGCTTTCAGTGAAAAGATACAAATTTTTGGCTTCTAAATCAGCTGATCTAAAATATCCTAGAAGAATACATTTCTAATGGCTGAAAGAAAACACCGAGAAGATAAACGAGATTAAGGAGAAAAGGGAGGGAGGTAGAGAAGCAAAACATTTGCCAGTTAGCTACAAATAGTTTTGTATTGAACAAAAATAAATATTCAATCAGCCTATTATTTCTTTTGGAACTACCTCTTTGCACAGAGGAATGCAAGATAGCATCCTTTATAAGGCCACAAGAATCTTGTACACATCACCATGAAATAGGTTTAGTAGAGGATACAGCAATCTCCCATGCAGTCACATGATAAACGGAATACTTGAATACTGATTCTATTTGGTCTCCCTTCAAAGCAATATTTACTTTAAAAAAATAAATAAATAAAATAAATTAAAAAAAAATAATCAGAAGCCATCTGCCAAAGGAAGTACCTCAGACTGAAGGGCCTTGTCTGTGCTCAGTCTGTGCACATTGCTTTTTGTTTAGACAAAATAAAACCAGGATAAACTGCAACGTGTCTGCAGAAGGTTCTTCTATTTTTAACCAATACCATCCTGCCAGTATCAATTCATCCAGATAGAGAATCCTTCATTAAAAATATAATTTATTTTGGTTGCTCTTCACTGTGCTGAAGTGACATCTTTCCCAACCACTGTCAAAGGCAATTAAGAACACAGAGCTTTTGAGGATAAGTTTCAACCCATGATTCCCCTTGGCCTGCCTGAACAAAGTTTCCTTATAAAGGCTTGGGAAGCCTTAGATGGCAAGCGGCAAAGCCAAACAGCATGAAAAGTATTATTCAGATATACATACTATAGTTGCGAGATTACCTGCAAAAAAGCCTTTGCACATTCTGATAAAGGCACAGAAGCTACAAACCAGTGAGATATACTAAGGAACAAGATAAACACTGGAACAACTCCAAAAAAAGGAAGCTCTCATACAGTATTTCCACTACCTGAAGGGATAGATTTGTGTCCCTTTTTACCTGAAACATAAGGTGTACCTTACTTAAGCTTTACCCCATCTGCCTACCCCTACAGCATGCGAGCACTTTCAAAATTATCCCTACAGCCACCTCAACCGGTTCTTTCCATATTCTTTTAGATGGGAAGATGCCCATATTTTCTTACATCTATTTCTGTCAACAAAGCTGATTTTGGAAGAGAAAATTTCCCTTCTTCAAACTTCCAGCCTTTTTTCCTGCTCTGTCTTTGCCATATTCTTCCTACCCTAAGACCTTCCCAGCTATTAAATTCATGATTTCGCTCCTCTTAGTTCTTCCCCTTCTTTTGTTGACTGATATTGGTGTCACTATGTCCCCACAGGTGTGCAGGGGTACCAGCAGAAGTCCGACAATACAGTACCTGCGGCAACCAGACATTAGATATTTTACTGAAAAAAACCAACCTTAAGTCTTACTTTATTAAAGTAAATGATGCTATACTTCTCCATCGGGAGAATAGCATTAAATAATTAGTCACGCTGAAAGATGGGCTTCAAAAAGTGTGGCGGGTGGAGGAGGAAGGACTGAGGAAGTCCTGTCAATGTGCAGAACACAAGCTCTTGCTCAAGTCCAGATCTGACAAGGCTCCTCCTCGATATGCCAACTCAGTGCCTGAATTTGGGAAAAAGAACCTACCGTTTCATACTTTAAAGGAAAGCTCTAAGACAAACTATGCTGCCTTTCTGTAACTTTGGATGTAATTAATAATCCGACTCAGCAACAAGCCCACCTTGATATGGTTATAAACCTTCTGCCAAGTGGCCTCACGGAAGACAGAGCCGCGTTGCCGGGGTCACTTTTCAGGGTGGCAAAGCTGGAACAAGCAGTTCCTACCCCTGGCCACTTGTTACCAGCTCCCCTTGCGCTGCCCTCTCCCCACCCCTCCTGGTGGCCTTAGGACAGCTTTATGGTACATCGTGTAGCAAACGGAGTTGGTTAAGCTAAAAATAGTCCATTCATCCTCCCCCTCCCTCCCTTCCCATTTTTGCCGGGTTATTTTTAAAACGGATCAGCTCTCTGCCCTTGTTCAACAGGCAGCTCAGCTGGGCTGGAAGGGGAAGGGAGGAGGAAGAGGAGAAGATGTGTCTCTGCCAGCCCGGGGGTGTGAGAGGGACTGCAGGGTCTCCTTCAGCCCACCCTGCCAGGAAGACACAACACATCCCTGACATTGCAGACAGAGGGGTCCTCACAATCCCAGAGCAAGCTGGTGTTTGCACACCCTCAGGAGGAGCACGTGCTACTCCTACAGTTAGAAAGAAGAGGTTTGCATAATCTTAACCCTCATATCCCAGGAGCCAGAACTAATTCCGTGCTTTTCTGATTTGACTTGGGGATTCTACGCCGCCGCGGCAGGACTTAGGAAATGGCTCTTCACTGTAACCTCCTTTGAGTGCTCGTCTTTTGTTTGCATTACCCTGGCTTGCAAGATGACAGCTATCAAGTCAGATTACTGAATGCCACTCACGGTGACACATGCCAAAAGTAAACCATTAAGACTGTCTAAATAGCAGAGTTAGGCTTAATGTGTAGGTTGCCAGGTTATTACATTAAGAAATAATTCTGGACAAATTCAGCAATTAAAAAAGTGCCAAATAGCTTTTTTTAAACTATTTTCTTTAAAAAACAGATGAATTCTTAAAATTCATTGGACTGATCAGATAAACACTCTTTTGAATTCCTAAGAAATCCCACACCTTAAAGTGTCATGAATTTAGGCTGATAAAGAAGAAAAAGCCGGGGGAGAGGGGAGAATACAATAATTAAAAAAAAATAAAAATCCTCTTAACCCTCCTGTTCCTTCTGTGTGTTTATGAATCCTCCGGAAATACCATGGCAAACATTCCAGCTCTACAGCAGCGAGGCCACGTGACCTGAAGGCACAGCAAGGAACTTCTTTCCCAAGTTTCTTCGTGGAACAGAGAAGTGATTTTTATTTTATTTTTTTAAACCAGGAACCAAGTCCAGGGAAATCTCCAGGAAGTTTTCAGGAAAACAGACTTAAAACAGGGGTTTGGTGTAGGTTTTGTTTTCATTTTTTGTTTGGGTTTTGTTTTTTTTAAATTATTTGCTGCATTTCTATGCCTGTACACGTTATTTTCATAATAGAAGACTAAAGTATTAGACTTATATCCAGGGGCATAAAATACAGTATACTCTTTAAGGCACCATGAAAAACTACTTGCAATGTCCTCTAAATCTCCTATTAGAGTTACAATCAGTACTGCTGTATTTCTTAATATAGCCAAGATCTTTTCCCAGCGAAAATTATGGCACAGTTAAAACCTCTCCTCCTTCTAGTCTTTCAGTATGATTTCAGCCAGAACTATTAATGAAAGGATTTATGCACATGAGCTTTGCTAAACATCATGAAAAAGTACCCAGAATGAGAACCTGAATAACAACCTTCCATTTTTACAAACAATCATGTGTAAGTACTTGGGAGCAATCATTTAAAATGTAGGAGTATGGATGAATCATAATGTAATAGTTGAGTATCAGCTGAAATTTGTATTTTGTCTTAAAACAAAACAGAAGAAAGCATCACTGTACAAAAAGGAAAAGAGTCCTGCAGTACAAAAGCACAGCAAATTGCAGGCACACACCACTAACTCGCTTTTGTAGCCATGTCAAAAACGCTTCTAATTATCAGAGGTAAAAGAGGGATGGCATTTCTGCTGGAAGCAAGTTTTACACTTTAGTCTTTCCTCTCCCCTCTCTTTCAGCCTATAAATATTAGTCTTACACATTTTTTTTCCCCATACAGCTCTTGAAAAGGTTGAGTTTTTCAAGGCTGAGAGCAGACAGAAATGTTCATCAAGAAATGCCTTCAGGTCAACTGTCTGTAGCTCATCAAAGTGCAGCACTGGAAATACGGAAGAGGGGGAGCAGGATTACACGAGCACGGTAGAGCAGATTTTAAAAAAATAAACCAGAATCTGTGTTCTGATGATAATTAATTTTTTTCCTTTTGGAAATGGGTTCAGGGTTCAGTTATCATCCATGCACCCTCGGTGGTGATGGGCACAAGGGTACTGACTCCCCCCCCCCCAAATTTCAGCTGCATTCAAAACCAACTACAAATACATGAAAGAGTCTTTAATGCTGTTTCACAACATGAGGAAATGCCACGGGGATATGACAAGGAGTGAAAGTGGAGATGTTCAACGTAACAGTGTAAGGAAAGGCAGCTGGTCCACAAGAAAATTAAGATGTAGACCAAATTCTTGAGAAGCTCCGAACTACATTGCAAATAAAGCAAAGATGACGTTACCTATTGCTTTATAAAGTATTTAAAATATCTAAAAAAAAAAACTCAAAACAAAGCAAAAGCTGCAACAGAACAAGTTTGCAAAGATTATTTTTCCTAAGAAGGGGAGGTAACAGGAACCCTGGAGTGCCCACTCCGTGTCTTTTTTAATTCTGTACAACAGCTGGACATGAGCTATTGAACACGTTATTGAAACTACTGTTCATTTCTACTCAGGGATTTCTACTTTGTTTATTATAAATGCACATTTATTGGCAGCAACTGGAACATATTATTGCTCTGTTTTATAGCTCAAATGGCTCACGCAAGGAGTAATTTGTTTGTATTCTGTATCAGGATCAATATTGTACCAGGGATAGCCCAAGGAATGTTTATGCTGAGGGCTTTGCTTGCAGTGTTTTGTTGTTGCAATCAATTGACCAAACACAGGACTGCTTCTTAAAACAACAAATAAACTTTGATAGTGACCAGATCAGCCCTTAAAGCATAACAACACAATGTCTAGAAAAAGACTGAAAATCCACCAATGTTTTTACCACCTGGTGGTCCATAAAGGTCTCCTACCTGAATATTTCCCACCGGCCTTTCTTCCTCTCGGTAGCTGGGGACTGTTTCCTCAATGTCCTCACATAACAAGATCCATTTTCCTGCAATAAAAATACAGATACATCACGCTTCCGCTCTCCTGCGTAACACGGCAGCATTTGAAGAAGCTCACTGAACAGGCCTGAAATGAATTAAGAGCATTTGAGAGTCCCAGGACCAAGCTGAGGACCAGAGCTGAGCCTGGGCTGGGGTTCCAGCCCAGCCCTGCCACCCCCAAGCTTTTGGGACTCGCTCCAGTAATTTGAGTGTGAGAGGTTTTCTTGCCCATAACAGTGAGATGAAGATGAGTGAGAAGAATTCAGTCGAGGTTTATATCAAAATTTTCTGAGCCAAATGGTAATATTTTTTGTTCAGTTAAAGGTCATGCTGAAGTCTCTTTTATTCTCTTTATAAAGGGTACTCGCTGACTGTTGTGAGCTAAGTGCCATTAAAAAAAATAAACTAACCCCCAAACTCTGCTTAAGCAAACACACTGAAATACCTCAAAAACCACCATCCTGTCTGTAGCAAAACAAAGCAAGTTTATGGATTACGTTGGCACAGCACTGTGACTTCTAGGAAATGCTTTTTAATTATAAAGAAAGACTGCAAAGGGAGGCCGGGGAATGTTTATGGGCAGTAGGTATTGTGTTACATGCTGGTTCAGCAGGCAGACGAGGTTTCCTTAGAGAGACTAACTTCCAAATAACTTTCAGGCAAAAGATTTTCCATCAAACATGAAAAAGCAAGTTTCACAGAAATAAAAAAATAAATAGATAAGGCACGCAATTCGCAACCAGTCCAGGTTCTTCCCCAAGGACCAGGTGTGGGAGCAGCCACTTCCATAACAATTCACATGAAGCAAAAGTCACAGGTGACTTAAAAAATGCAGAAGGAAAACCTCAAGTTATTACAAATAACTTGTCAATTGTGTTCAAAATTTGTTCTGCAGTCACATTTATTCTGTTCACTGAGAATTCACAAAGAATAAGAACATGTCTGAAAAGCATATCTTAGCAACAGTCATCCCACCCCAACACGTACAGTGCCACCAAGGGACAGTCTGCTTCAGACAGGAACTCTGCTGCTTTTCTTGTCTCACAACAAATGGCAATTTTAGAGAAGTTACATATTGACAGGCACCCTGGGTGAATGATTGGCTTTTAAGGCCTCATTGAACTGTGAATGTTTTCCCCCACAACATATTTATTCTCATCCAGAAGTTTTCCCCAGTGCTTTTGTTCTGCTTATGCAAGCCAGGAAAAACATGTTAATTGATTCAGATTTAGTATGTGTTAGCATGGCTTTCTCAGCTAACTCAGACCGCGTCCTTAATGAAGTTGGAGTCAGTTATCTCTCCAAGTTTGTTCCTCCAAAGGATAAACTTTTGTTCTGTCTGCCCCAGGAGCTGGGTACCATTCCAGGTGTGTTTACGGGATGGGACTTTGGCAAAGCAGGCTGTAGCATTTACTTGGCAGCTTAAACTTTACCTCTCCCTTCTCCCTCCTGGACGCCTGTCCCCGGCCCTGCGTTTGTGCAGCTGCACGGGTAGCCGTGATGGGGGAAACTGCTTTCCTTCAGCACGTTGTCTCATAAACAGCTGTGCCAAGGGAGCGGGCACAGGGCAGGGGTGATCAGCCATGAAGGCAGAGCGTGGGGACAGAGGTTGCTGAAACCAGCTGAAGCGGCGCTGCCGCCTTCGCTCCCCTCCGGTCCTGCCCCCAGCTGTAAAACTGGCACCACAATCCCTACCTTGTTCCAGAAAGCGCCTCTTAAAAAGGCCATCCCATTAACATTTCTGTGAATTCACACCGCAGACCACCCACCCCTTTCGCAAATCAGCTCTGAGCTTATTTCTAAGGACACTGGCACTGTCCCCACCGGCATCTGCTCCCTGGTTTCATCACGCAACCTGCTCGGGGGCTGCACCATCACCCCCACCACCACAGCTCCCGTGCCCCAGCCAGCCCCAGCTCTGCCAGCACACCCTGAAGGGCTCTGCTCTGAAATGGAATCAGTTTCTTAAAAAAAAAAAAAAAAAAAAAAAAATTATAATAATAATAAAAATTAGCTTTTTATTAAAGCCAGATCTGTTCTCTCATCCTATTGCTATGAAGATCCCTCAAACAGTCTCACTGGCTCAGTTTGGGGGTAGCTGGCTACACCTGAAAAAGCAAACAGACAGGCGGGGAAGAGGAGACAACTGCAAACACCTTAAACCCAGCATCAGCCACCCTTTCCAGGTGTGAAACCATGGTCTTGCTGCGGCACAAACTCCATCCTTTTCGCATCCGTGTCTGGTTCACATCCCGTGGGGCAGCTGCAGGAGCAGACATTGGAAAGCACCGAGTCCTCCCCACAAACACCCACCAGAGCCCGGTAAGGCAGCAGCCAGGTGTGAACCAGGGAAGAGCAAGGAGGGGAACCAGAGGCACTCCAGCTGGTGAGCATCTCCTGCCCTCCCAGATCCAGCAGAGGGAGCACAAAAAACACAAGTTTTTTTTTTGGCCAAATGCTTTTTTGGCTACGATGCTCGAAATCCCAGGCACTTTGCATTAGATTATTTCTATAGTAATGCATATGTGGTGCATTACAAGCGCATAATAGACAAAACTCGTGCTCCGAGTAGATTACACTGTAAAAATCGATGCGGTGAAGGAGACGACCAACACAAGCAGAGAGGTCTGCAGAAGTTGAGAGGAGGAAAGAGAGGCAACACCACAGGGCTGCCAACTCTGGTGATTTTATTGTGTCTCCTGCAATACTAGGAATTTTTCCTAAAGCCATCTCTCCAAAGTCTCATCATCACATAAAAATTTCAGCCTTCAGATTTGTGTGTGTTTGTTTGTTTTAAAGGATATACCTCTAGGCTTCCAAAGCTCAAAAGCAAAGCTGTGATTAAGGTGAACCCCAAAGACTCAAAAACTGGAAGAGAAGTACAAGAATCCCCAAAATTGGTTGTCTGTGCATCATGGGCAAAATCATCTCAACTCAGGGAATTCTACTTAAGTTTACTTTATTTAATGCCAATTAACGCACTTTTAATTACTGTTTCAGGAGCTGAGGGAAGAAAAGGTGACTAAGCAGTTCAGCAAACACTGAGGGAACCTCTTTTCCTCCCCCTTCTCGAGGCCCAACTTCAGTCCAACACCTTTTCTTGCCCTCCCCTTTCCAAGCCTTGTTTCCACCATGCCTTTCCCTGGGTCCCTCTCCACACCTTTGGCGAGGTGACAGCCAGCACAGGAGGGCTGTGCCTGCAATGGCTTCTACCTGCTCCTCCCTGCTTCTCATTTGTCCTTCCACTGCTCCTTGCTGCTTCACTTGATTCCCCCTCTCCCAGCCCAGATTCCTCCTACACGGGTCCCAGTCCCCCAAGGATGCCCTCACCTTGTCTCTTCCTCAGCCTTATCCTTTGAGAAAAGCAAGAGAGACCTCAGGGTATCTCACTGCCTACAGCTCAGCATGTGCTGGACTTGAGTAACCAAGAGCAGAACCTTCAGTTTCTGTACACAAAATACCACTCAGCCTCTAGGAACCCAAACAGAAGTGAAGAGATAGCAAATGCAAAACACAGAGAGAAATTCTTGGAAAACAGAAATACTGCAAAGATAAAGAGTTAAGTATGTTGTACAATGTTCTTATGGAAATACAAAAGGCAGGTGCACTTAAAAAAGGGGTATTTTTCTACTTCCACAAGTTATTAGTTATTTCCAAGTTCCAGCATTATTCTCCTTGAACTGCAGAACATGTTCAAACTCAAAACCTGTAAAACCACAGCGTGTGGGCAATCTTGACTTCTTATTTATCCTGGGCTGTAATTGGGTCATAAGTGAAGAACACAAAGCGCTGCATTTCCTAAATAAGCTTACTGGTCAACCAGACTACTCCTGCTCTGCAGGAGGATTTCCAAACTTCTACAGAGTGTTTAAATATTATATGCAGCCCTTGTTAGGTATCACAGCCCTCTACCAACTCAGAAATTTTTAGAGACGTGGGATTTTTTGAAATTCTAAAGCAATTCAAAAATCAATATTGAGTGTATGCCTGTCTCTCAACTTGTTCCACAAAAAAAAATAAATAATAAATCTCATTACTGGAAGAATCACTTTTCTAATCTGGCTCTCTTTTCCATGCTGCACATGAACTAAAGGCTGGCCCAGTGCACCTAAAGCCCCCAGGCCAACATCGCTGCTGTCCATGTCTCTGCTCTCCTGCCATAACCCTGGAAACCCTCAGGTTCCCAGGGCAGAGCTGCTCTCTGCCTCCCTCCCAGCCCCACACCCCAGATTTTGGGGGACTCCCAGCCCCACACCTCATATTTCAGGGGGCTGCACATGAATCAGTCAGCCAATGAGGCATCGCTTCGTGTCCCCCCAGCCAGGCTGCTCCTCCTCCAGCACTTGCTCCAGCCTTACAGCACCTCAGCAAGAGCTAAAAATCAGCCCAGGGGGAGATGAATCCGAACCAATTAAGGTTTGCAATTCGTTATCATTTCACAAGTGACCATGGCAGTAAGGGCTCCAACCTAGTCGGCAGCAGACAGTGGCACATTAGGCTGCATCTGTTTATAGCAGAGGACCGAGTTGCCAACTCACAGACGTAGGATAACGAGCACTATTAATCTTGGCTTAAACTGAACCATTGTTCTGGAGATTGGACATCTCTTGTAAAATCCCATTATTAGAGGCCATTTGCCATCTATTTCCGTAGCAACTTTTTTGGTTTGTTTTGTTCTATTTTAGAAAAATTTTCCCCTTCCCTTTTCCTTATATCCTATTGTACTTACAGAGCCTTAAACAATAATCCACTCAAGCACAGCCATGGAAGTGGTTTGAAGGAACAAAGGCTGCTTCTGGCATAGCCTGAGCATCTGACTCTCCCTCCGTACAGCTGCCTGCGTATCCTCGGCAGATTTGCAGAGCACCAGAAGCTACTGCTTTCCCCCTGCCTCTCCTGTGTGTTGGGCACAAAATAAACTCTAGGCAGGAGGAGTCCACTAAAATTATATTTGAAGCATTGACTAAAGGTGCAGGCGAGTCGCAAGCAAGTTCTGCAGCTGATC